CCCTCCCTCCCTCTCGCTGTACGTCATGCTCACGCGTCTGGCAGCACGTCTTGCGCCACCGCAGACTCCCCCATCCCCCTCCACCACGTCAGCCTCAGTCTCCATCCTCCTACATCTTCGTCACCCCCGCCCCTCCCCACCCTCCATCATCCTCCTGGTTGAGCGAGGCGCCGCCCCCCTCCCCTCCCCCCACTACCACCGCCGACGACCCCCCGGCGGAGGTGGTGGTGGAGGAGGAGGAGGAGGACGACGACGACGACGACGAAGAGGAGGAGGAGGAGGAGCAGAGGGAGGGCTGGGAGAGAGAGGGGGGGAGAAGGAGGAAGGGACCTGAAATTTCTGTCTGGAGGTACTGGAAGACAGGAAGGATTTTGCCCCAGGACTCGTGAAGAGAGCTTGCGAGCTCAAAGACGAGGAGGAGGAGAGATTCGATGGCAAGGACACGTTCCTCAGCCATCTCCTCCTCCCTCACGACTGTCTCCGTCGTCTCTCCTCCATGCTCCTCCTCCTTCGACTTGCTCGCATGGCTGCCGTCGCCCTCACTCGCGGGAGTAGCCGGGGGCTTCCCTTGAGGAGACACGAGGATGCGACTCTGGTAGGGCTGAGGAGCAGCGATGTCGCAGAGTGTACTGGAAGTGAAGGGAGGGGAGGGAGAGGGAGAGGAGGAGGAGGAGGTCAGCTACGAAGGAATCAGGACATGGCTCACCTGAAGCAGAGATCTCTGGCCTGGACCATCTGCAGGACAGCAGCAGTCTGGGTGAGGGCGCAGTGAGCTGAGAGCATGCGGCGAAGCAGTGAGGGATGTCGGACACAGAGCAGGACCATCCTCGAGATCGAGTTCAGCGAGCTCGCACAACCCTCGACGATGTGCCAGCATACCTGCTCACACCATTACATCCTGCTACTCTTCTTCTTCTCCTCCTCCTCCCACCCCCTTCCCCCTCTCCCTCCATCCTCCTCCTGCTCTACTCCCTGCCTCTTCGTCTCCTCCCTCGCTTCCTTTTCCTCTCCCTCACAGCTCCTCCTCCTGCTCCCTCCTCCTCCTCTACCTCCCCTCTCAACGTCTGCTCTACTCTCCTTCGTCTTCCCCCACCGCAGTCTCTCCAGCTTGTAGCCTCACCTCAGAGTTCTGCTCGAGGAGGGAGGAGTTGAAGTTGGGCTGGGGGGCGAGTTGCGGGAGGTTGGAGGGGTCGGAGAGGTCGAGGAGGAGGACGGGGGAGATCCCGCAGAGGGAGGCGAGGGCGTGAGAGATGTTGGACCCGCACAGCATCGACATCTCCGCAACCACCTCATCGACGTTGGGAGGGAGCGAAGGCTCGCCGACCTGGAGTAAGTGAGAAGGAGACGGTGGAGAAGGAGGAGGAGGAGGTGGTGGTGGTGGTTGTGATGGTGATGGAGATGATGATGATGATGATGATGATGATGATGGAGATGATGACGATGATGATGATGATGATGGAGATGATTGAATGCCAGCTGGAAGATTTCGAGTCTCATCACCTGAGCATCGAGAAGTCTAGTGTAAGGAGCCGCTGGTTCCAAGATAAAACTGCCTTTGAGCTCCATTGATCCTGCTGCTGCTGCTGCTGCTGTTCCTCCTCCTCCTCCTCCTCCTCCTCCTCCTCCTCCTCCTGTCCCTGCTGCAGCGGTAGCAGCTGCTCCCTTTCCTGCCTCCCCCTTTCCCGCGATCTTCCTCGCATGTTGCTGCTCTCCCGTTCTGCTCTCGAGGAAAGTTTTGACGATGTCATCGAAGATCCGGATGATCCCGACGATGACGTTGTCCTGGTCGTCCTGCCGCAGCTTTTGCTCACTCCTCCTCCTCCCCCCCCCCCCTCACTCTCGCTCCATCTCTCACCACAGATCCTCGTCCTCGGCACACAGTGAAGGCATATTTCAGTCGCCGAGAGAAGCTCGGACAGGACGTGTACTCCAGCAGACACTCCAGCGCGATGAGTTTGACCCACTGCTGGGAAGCGTTCTGACCAGCTGTCAGCGCGAACTCTAGAGCCTCGCTCGACGGCCTTCACCTGCGCCAGATAGGAGAAGAGCGACAAGACGTTGGCGATGTTGGGGAGGAGGAAGGAGCCGAGACCCTCCTCGACAGAGCTGGAGGAGAAGTGAGGACGGAAGGATGGTAGGGGGGAGCAGGCGAGGGATGAGAAGAGAGCACAGGAGAGGAAGGGGGAGAGCGAGGGCAGCAGCAGCAGCAGCAGCAGCAGCAGCAAGGGAAGGAGAACAGGTAGAAGAGGAAAAGGAGGAGAGATGCAGGACAGGAGAGAAGAGGGGCCTACAGAGGGACACAAACTAGTGAGGTGGGTGGGTAGGAACTAGTGAAGTGGGTGGGTAGGAACTAGTGAAGTGGGTGGGTAGGGTTCAGTCCGTCTGCTCACAAGGTTTCGAGGAATTCTTCGTGAAGAGAAGTTGCAAAGACGTTGCTGACGATCCCTGAAGAGAGTCGGAAAAGTTTGACAACCTGAGAAACTTTGACATGAGCCACGTGGGCGGCAGCTGGGCAGCAGACCTGGAGCATCCTCTGCGCGTAGTCCTCCCTCGCCTCCCTTGCTCCTATCTGCAACTTGACGCCGCCAGACGCCAAGCGCTGCGAGATGTCAGAAAACCGCTGCTTCCTCCATAGCAGGAAGAGAAGGAGAGGAGGGAGGGAAGGAGGGAGGGAGGGAGGGAGGGAGGAACGGGGGGAGGGAAGAAATGCAAGGGAGTAGGACGGGGGTCAGATTCGTTACCTGCAGCTGTGCGATGATGATGGAGAGGAGGTCGTCCTCAACGAGCTTCAAGAGAGGAGCATACCTGCACCAAATCAGCCACTCCTCCTCCTCCTCCTCCTCTCCCACCTCATGAACACTGACGGGTGCTTGCGGAACAGCGAGTCCAAGATGTCCATCGCAAGGATCTGAGAGGACAGGGAGGCTCGGCTCCTGACTCTCTGCGAGGATTCCCCGTTGATGAGGAGGAGGAGCTCCTTCAGCACTTGAGCGCAGCATTCCGCTGCCTGAGGTAAGCTCTTCTTGCTCACGTAGCTTGGGCTGGCGCTCGGCGACTCCTCCTTCACCTCTGAGATCTCATGGACCTCCTCGTCCTCGCTCGCCCGAGAGTCGAAGGAGAGCTGCTGCTTCCTCTGACTGCAGTCGCACGTCACCTTTCCATCCTCGTCTCCTCCCCCTGCTCCCTTCCCTGCTTCCCACCCCCTCCCTCCTCCTCCCCTTCCCCTCTCGCCCTCCTCCCTCACCTCTCGATTCTCTCCAGGTCAAACTTGTGCAGGAGGTCGATGGACGCCTCCGTCACCTGCCGCAGAGCCGCCGCCGCCGCCTGCGATGCCGCGGGAAAGCGACCGCCATGGATAGACAAGAGCGCCTCAAGCATGAAGAGAGCAGGTCCGATCTGGATCGCGAACCGTTCGCTCTGCATGGCGCTCGAGATGAACTGGACCACGCGGAGTTGGATTGCTTCCTCTGCGACTTCAGAGCACTTGCGAAGCACCATGCCGACAGCGGCGAAGTAAGGAGGGTCGATGGCGTCAAGAACTGCAAGTCGCTGCAGCATGACGAGGCCGAGGCGGCTGATCTTTCCGTTCTTGTCCTCCGCCGCCTGCACCGCCGCCTTGAGCACGTCAAGGGAGGAGCGAAGCTTCCTCGAGGTTTCGTGAGGGTCCAGCAGAGCCGCTTCCAGCTCTCGCAGCTTCTTCTCCGACGCCTTGAGCGTCTCCAGCAGCTTTCCCTGCTTGCGCGGCACCAGCGCCTCGATGCCCTCCACGTCCTTGAGCAGCTGCACCAGCGGCTCGTGCGACAAAGCAGCGCCAGGCTTGTGCTCTATGGGTGTGAGGGGATGGGGAGGATGTCGCTCAGCAGGAGCCTCGGGCTTCTTCTCCGGTGACATAGTCTTCTTGCTCCACCCGAACTGCAGGCGCGAAGGCTTCATGGGTGACTCCTGCCCGTCCTCTTGCGTCGCCTCCTGCTCCCCGATGGGCTCGGGAACGACAGCGACTCCGTTCTGCTCCCCCTCGTTCTCCTTGAACTCATCGCCCTTGCTCTTACTCCGCAGACCGAACAAGGAGCGGCTGAAGGCCCCTCCCCAGCTCAGACTTCGTTTGTGCGACGACAGTTTCTTATCCTCTGACACCGGCGAGCCCGCACGCACTGCATCCTCCAGCCCCTTGACCGGAGACATCTCGACGCTCGAGCTCCTCTGCTCTTTGCTCTCTGTCGGGACTTCTGCTGCGACACTCTCCGACATGTTTCCTCGTGACTGTCCACCAACCTCACTGGGGCATCACCTTCCTGAGACGATAGTGAGGAACATGGAGAGATGGCGACAGGTGGGGTCAGTTGAGATCAGACGTGTCTGGACCTTTGATCTGTAGTTCATCACCAGAAGTCTTCCTCTTCCTCACCCTCTCCGCCCTCCCCTCCCTCAAAATCTCAAAATCATCACAAATCCTTCGTTGCTAAGGACATTTTCTGATACCCTGTCCCTTTGCCATACTACTACAATTGCACGCATGCTCATTAATTCGGATCTACCTCTCATCAGATGATCTCATACCATCTCCCTCCGCTCTTGCATAAGTTTGCGAGGTCGTTTCCGCACCAACGCCCCTTTCTCCCACATACATGATCTCCTCGTCCCTATATGTCATCAGCCATGCATCTTCTCTTCCACTCTGATCCTCCTTCTACTGTTGCTCCTCGTCCTCCTCAGCATCATCCTCTTCTTCCCTCCTCTCCTCTCCTCTCCCCTCTTCAGCGACTTTCTCTAACGACCCTGACCCGGCATCCTTCGGCATGGTCCAGGGTGCATTGTTATAACTTATTTTCTGAAAATTTAAATTTAAAACATTTTCCCAAGAAAGTGTACCATAAAAATCAGTAAACCATCCCAAACATCAGTACATGTTTATAATATTGAGGTACAATTGTCGTCCCTTTTCGGTACGGAGAATCAATAAATATTTTAAGAATTATAAAATCATGACCCCTCCCCTTTATTTAAACCAATAGAGGTGGGGTACCTTTGTGGGGGAAAGAAGGGGTGGGGGTTGCGGGTTGGACTAAAAGAGATTGGATGAGCAGGAGTACTCCGAGCAGGAGCAGGAGCAGGAGCAGGGGGCAGGGGGCAGGAGGAAGAGCAGAGAGAGAGAGAGAGTGGTAACGACATAGGTACGAGGATCAGAGGAGGAACGATGAGATTCGAGGCGAGGCGAGAAACCTTGCACCTCAGTCACAAGATCTCACGAACAAGGAGGAGAAGCAGATGACAAGCCTCTTGTTATCGGTTGTTATCTCACGAGCTACAAACCCAGGGCTTCTCACTCTCATCACATTCGAATTTCTTTACAGAATCGTTAAGCACATCCTTTCCTTCGGACGGTGTGCCATGTGTCTTCCAGATCTTAAAAAGCTCTTCTGTGTTACCCACAATGAAGCTGATCTAATGGTACAAATGGAAGGAAAATATCGGCAGGTCTCCCCTGCTCTCTGCTCTCCTTGTCACTCTGAGGGAGACTGTCCTGTGATGTGATCGTCGATGACCGATACAATCACTTCCTCTGCCGTCTCTGTTAGTCTCTGCGTTCCAATTCCTGTTCCCCTCCCCCCCCCCACTCCTCCTCCTCCTCCTTCTCTTCCTCCTCCTCTCTCTCTCTCTCTCTCTCTCTACTTGGCCCAGGACAACTACCAAATTGATACCCAACCCCTCCCTGACCGCCTCCTCCGCAAGTGCATCTAGTTCTGGTTCTGGTAACAAAATGGTAGAGGTAGGTGGCACGGCAACCCCAATAAGTTGAAACTGGATACAGTGACCCTCTCTTGTTTCGCTATTGCCATCACCACCTTCATCAACTGGAGCTCTCATCTTCATCCTCCTGCTGGTGCTGCTCCTCCTCCTGCTCCTGCTCCTGCAGGAAAGGGGAAGGAGCCCCTCTCCCTCTGTATTTATAGTTTAAGTTTGGGGGAGGGAGTGGAAGGGGATGGGCATTCTTGTCC